AAATTACTAGTCATCTAGTTTATTATATCAACTATGCATTGTTAGTTTTGCAAATTGGTATGTTTCACAGGCCATGAAGAAATATAGAGCTAAGTATCATCAGCATAACAGTGAAAGCTAACACCATGTTTATTGATGATATCTCCCAAGGGTAACATCTAAATCGTGAAAAGCAACGGTCCTAGTACTGAGCCTTGTGGTACTCCATACTGAACTTGTGATCGATGTGATATAACTTGATATAAATAATTTTCTAGTCTATTCAAAAGAATGTTGCGGTTGATAGTGTTGAACGCAGCGCTTCGATCCAGTAGCACTAATAGAGAGATAAAACCAAGATCAGATGATAAGAGCAGGTCATTTGTAACTGATGAGAGCAGTCTCAGTACTATGATACGGTCTAAATCCTGACTGGAAATCCTCACAGATACCATATAACTTTATTTTAGCTCTGATTAGGGGGATTTAAACTCATGATATTTGGCATTTGGAACCATGAAAGCTTGTGGAGACTTGTTACCAATGCAAGATAATGCTCATGCCAAAAGAAAATGAAATATTTTTCCTACAAGTTCTAAAGATTATCATAGATTAAAATGTACAATTGGGGCGTTTCGTCCATTTAAGCTGCAAATGCTCTGCCATTTGAGAGAATGATTTCAGGTAACAGTTAATTAATATTAATATTACTAGAAATTCCCTTGTCATTTAAAGTGTAACAAAGCTTACATAATAAAGTGTTTGGAATATGTCAAATTATTTATTTGCCATAGAACAGTATTTTTTTTTTTTTTTGCAAATCTGTGCCAGTGACGGAGGGTTTTAGGTAAGCGGGTCCACAAAAGCTTTCGTGCTTTCACTCTATTGCTATAAATGGTGATTGTTACACTGGGCTGTTGGTCTGTGGGCTGTTTCATGTAAAAGGAAAGTTGGAAATCAGGTTCAACCTGGGGTTGTATTGTTGTTGTGGGCCCCTATAAACCTCTGGGGTCTATGCACTCTGTCCCCCTTTTCCCCTGTTGCAACGCCTCTGTAAATGATACAATACTAACTCAACTAAAAAATTTAAAAATAAACAAATGAATAAAAATAAAATACAAATTTTACAATTCTTTTTCTTCTTTTTTCCCCCATTGGATTACATATTTATAAAATGTTACATCTAGGTTCCAATGTAATAGTATATAAACTGAAAAAGTTATGTACATTGTGAAGCAACGGTCCTAGTACTGAGCCTTGTGGTACTCCATACTGAACTTGTGATCGATATGATATAACTTCATACACTGCTACGAACTGATGGTGGCCAGATAATTATGATTTGAACCATGCCAATGCAATTCCAATAATGTCAAAATAATTTTCTAGTCTATTCAAAAGAATGTTGCGGTTGATAGTGTTGAACGCAGCGCTTCGATCCAGTAGCACTAATAGAGAGATAAAACCAAGATCAGATGATAAGAGCAGGTCATTTGTAACTGATGAGAGCAGTCTCAGTACTATGATACGGTCTAAATCCTGACTGGAAATCCTCACAGATACCATATAACTTTATTTTAGCTCTGATTAGGGGGATTTAAACTCATGATATTTGGCATTTGGAACCATGAAAGCTTGTGGAGACTTGTTACCAATGCAAGATAATGCTCATGCCAAAAGAAAATGAAATATTTTTCCTACAAGTTCTAAAGATTATCATAGATTAAAATGTACAATTGGGGCGTTTCGTCCATTTAAGCTGCAAATGCTCTGCCATTTGAGAGAATGATTTCAGGTAACAGTTAATTAATATTAATATTACTAGAAATTCCCTTGTCATTTAAAGTGTAACAAAGCTTACATAATAAAGTGTTTGGAATATGTCAAATTATTTATTTGCCATAGAACAGTATTTTTTTTTTTTTTTGCAAATCTGTGCCAGTGACGGAGGGTTTTAGGTAAGCGGGTCCACAAAAGCTTTCGTGCTTTCACTCTATTGCTATAAATGGTGATTGTTACACTGGGCTGTTGGTCTGTGGGCTGTTTCATGTAAAAGGAAAGTTGGGAATCAGGTTCAACCTGGGGTTGTATTGTTGTTGTGGGCCCCTATAAACCTCTGGGGTCTATGCACTCTGTCCCCCTTTTCCCCTGTTGCAACGCCTCTGTAAATGATACAATACTAACTCAACTAAAAAATTTAAAAATAAACAAATGAATAAAAATAAAATACAAATTTTACAATTCTTTTTCTTATTTTTTCCCCCATTGGATTACATATTTATAAAATGTTACATCTAGGTTCCAATGTAATAGTATATAAACTGAAAAAGTTATGTACATTGTGTTTTACATTTTGAGGTAAAGATGATGAAGATCAAGTCAGGCAGCCCAGGAGACATTAACATTTTGTCTTTATGCACTTCCTGACCATTGGGCAGGGTCCCAAGTTAAAGGTGAATGTTAAGCTCAAGGCACAGCTGTGCCTTTTTCTCTATTATAATGTGAAGGTATGGGCGATACTGTCAGGCTGATTGGATTAGCAGACATTAACATTTTGTCTTTATGCACTTCCTGACCATTGGGCAGGGTCCCAAGTTAAAGGTGAATGTTAAGCTCAAGGCACAGCTGTGCCTTTTTCTCTATTATAATGTGAAGGTATGGGCGATACTGTCAGGCTGATTGGATTAGCACCTATGCATTTGAATTATACTGTTATGCTGATGAGATCAGGGCTGGAGAAATTCCGGTAATGGGCTGATTCCTGTACTGCATGCTTTGTTTAGATTGTCTCCACCTCTATGTATCCCTGCCCCTTGAAAGGTATAAACGCTACTGTGCTGAGCTATAGTCAGACTTGGATGACTGCAGCGACGCACAGCGAGTTCTCAATAAAGAGTAACTTCTGAATGAAAGATATCCCATCGTCTCCTGGTCTCTGCTTCGACGAGGAAAAACTACACCCCAAAGCAATTTTTATCTTCTTACATTTTTTGCCATAGACAAAGGTACACGTTATTTGGCAACATGCTTGAGCAAGCTAATTAAGCTGAAAATTTGATGATTTTTATTGTTCCCTTTGACTTTCCCATCTTGCATGTGTGACATACAATTGTGTGTAAGCATCTGAAGCACATCAAACCAAACTTATAGCACATCAAATATGGTAAATGGAAGCTCAACTTGTGCATGCTTGATGCATAAGAACAAACCTCACTGGTTTATGTGTACCAAGCAAGCACGTCTGTGTTAAGTTATGTTTTATCTTCTGCGAATGTGCGAAGAGCACCATTTTGGGGTTAGCGCGGTTTTTTTGTAATACAGTTCAGTCCTGTATACGGAGCTGCGGTGGTTGAACGTGTTTGAGCAGGAAAGAGTGTAATTGCTAAGAACAGTTGTGTAGCGTCTGGACCAATCAAACACACAATATATATTTTGTTTTATATTTAACAAATACTCTGTAACCCCCCTCAGTTAAAAAGCCATACGAGGACCCATGAACCCTTCCCCCCGGAATGCGTAACACCCCAGGAAGCCGAAACAGGCCCCTTTGTTGCATGGCAACCAACGCTGATATCACTGGGTTTATTGGCCAAAAGTATCTAAAGCAGGGAAAATCCCTGCATGTCCCAGGACAAACGCACAGTAGAAATTGACTTTTCTACTAATTAATTCATAGGAAAACCTTTCTTTGAATGAACACACATATTCTTCAGGCCATTGTGTATATTATTGCTGTTTTGTATTAATCTGTTGTATTATAGACTATTTTTATTCATGCTTACGATAAACCACTCATTCATATAAGTAACTCTACCATGTCTAGTATCTATGAATTCGTATTCGGATGATCTAATTGAGAATGTATATTGTATGTTTACACCTACGCAACATATTAGTGTTCTAAGAGTCTTTAATAATTGTTACACAAGCTACATATGCGAAATACCATCAGGAAATTAATGTTCCTAGAATTGAGAAAGCCAGTTGACCCTGAGTGGTCAGCTAAATATCTACAGCGGATCTAAAATATGAATAGTTAATTATAACTAGTTATGGTTAATTATTCATATTTCACATGAGCTGATTCGTTACAGTTGTGTTTATTGAGTCAACAGTCTGAGCCTATGCTGATCATATTTAGGCTACGTCCACACGAAGCCAGAGCTTTCCCTATCCAATCTTTTTTTTCTCCTCGTCTCAAGAAATATCTGCGTCCACACGAAATCACAAAACTGACACAAAACGATATAGTATACATGCCAGACCAGTATGTGCCGCTGTAATTCTGCCACAGAGATACTCTAAAAATGGAGAAGACTTGGACTATGCGCATAAACCTTGTGCGTGGTATATAAACAAACATGGAACAAATACATTTATTAATCTGTGTTAATGTTACTTAATAAAAAGACATTCGTTCAGTGTTTGTTCATGTTTTTGTTGCCGTTACGTGACATAGCGGTGTCTGACTAGGGGCAAAACATGGGCTGATGACGTCATCTTTTCAGAAAATATACGGATTTCGCTGTCCACACGAAAACGCAAGGGTGTCGTTTTCAGATTTATCCACTCTGAGACCCGGTTAAAAAAAATATCGGTTTCACTCTCCCAAAACGCCGGATCCGTGTGGACAAAACGCCTATAAGATACAAAATGTATGCGTATACAGCTAAGCGCGTTTCCGTGTGGACGGGGCCTTAATGTGCTATATATTTTCGGCCATTGCTGGGGACCTCCAGAAAACCAACAGTAGATAATCTTAGTGCTCCTGAAAGCACTTAATTAACAAGTAAAATTAGCAATGTAGCTTGGTCCTAGCCCATTAAAGGCTTTATAAGAAGAAAGACCATTTAAATCCATTTTAAAAATTACATGAAGGAAGTGCTAAGCATCTAAAACTGGAGTGATAAGATATGTCTTAGTTCTAGTTAATAGCTGAGCTACAGAATTAAGTCTCTCAACTGTTATCCCCCCCCCCCCCCCCCCCCCCCCCAGACAAATACATTAAGTTTTTTTGTGTGTACATTTTATAGATATTTTATTAAACAAGCAAAGAGCTTTTAGGAAAATGACATCCAGAGGTTTTGAAAAAAAAAATGGCTTGTACAACAACATTCTTATATTCGCAACAGAGTAGCATGTATGAATAGTCTCTTCTCCTTTGAATTAATCCTCTAGGATGGATTCATATCTTTACTTTCTAAAACGGTCAAGTGTTGACTTATTTCCCAACTTTTTCTTCTCATTGGACTTCTCTTTCTGCTCTTTGTCTCTTTCTGTTCGCTCTTGTACGGTTTGCCGAATTTCATCCTGCAGAATCACAATAGAGAAGAAGTGGTGTGAACAGAGAGCAAACTAGAAACACTATTCTGAGAGAGGCTTGTGTTAAAGTTCAACAAAGACTTGCTCTCAAAAACCCTTTAAGTCTATGATATTCTGGCCTCTAGATATGGCTTTGGGCCCTCCTGAAATACTATGAAACTTTTTACTCGTTGTCCAAAAGGCAAACATTTTAGTCTGATCAATTAGAAATGTTACCTCTCCATCTACACGAGGCATCATCATGTCTGTAGCACAAACGATGATTCCAAACAGAGACAAGACAGAGAGAGAGAGGGGGGAAAAAACAAATACCCTCTGATCCTCATGGGCGACTTTCCTCTTTCTTTTCTCTATGGCACCAGCTGAGCTTCTTCCTTTCTTCTTTGTCTTTGGTTTAAATTTGTCTTTTGCCAATGGATCAAAGCCCTGATACAAAGAGAAGACACAAAGTAAGAACTAATGACACCAAACTGATGGATGCATTCTGAATCCATTCATTGCAATGTCAGCACCCTTGATAAATAGGAGCAAAACCAACTAGGAGCTTCCTAGGAATTTCCTCTTCATCTTTTATTCATGATATTCACAAATTTAGCTGAAGTATAATTACTCTATGTGACCCTGGAGCACAAAACCAATCTTAAGTCGCTGGGGTATATTTGTAGCAATAGCCAAAAACACATTGTATGGGTCAAAATTATAGATTTTTCTTTTATGCCAAAAATCATAAGGATATTAAGTAAAGATCATGTTCCATGAAGACATTTTGTAAATTTCCTACCGTAAATGTATCAAAACTTCATTTTTTATTAGTACTATGCATTGCTATCTCTCGTATAATCCCATTTATATTGTAGGTTTTTAAGTGATTATTAAGTGACAAGCAATAACTTCCTGATTTACTGGGGTATATAAATATGAGGTGACAAACAGGCCAAATTGCTATAATGATTTATATCAAAAGACTGTTGATCTGTACAAATTAGCTGAACAGTTGCTGCATTTTGACTTGTAGCCTACATCCTGATTCATGAACGGCTTCTCCACAGTTACATTTTATTTATTTTTTTTTAACAGAGCAGAGCTGTGGCCAAATATCTGACAGTTAAAACATCTCATGAATTTAGAATGAAGATGTTGACTGGTACACTCACATATCCAATCTGAAAGCTTTAAAAAGACTGTTGATCTGTACAAATTAGCTGAACAGTTGCTGCATTTTGACTTGTAGCCTACATCCTGATTCATGAACGGCTTCTCCACAGTTACATTTTATTTTATTTTTTTAACAGAGCAGAGCTGTGGCCAAATATCTGACAGTTAAAACATCTCATGAATTTAGAATGAAGATGTTGACTGGTACACTCACATATCCAATCTGAAAGCTTTCCAGAGGTTTATTAAAAAAACATTGAAAAGTGCCCGTTTTAATTAACTACATTTTGTATTGCTATCCTTTTTATATTTTTATTGCAAACCTTTTTGATATTTGTTACATTCCAGAGTTTATGATTCATACATGAAAAAAGTACAAAAATAATTTGATTCAAGTGACCTCAAACCCTCTAGGACAAATCTTGACTAGCCGAAAGTTGGATTGAGTCCTTCCACCTTCTCGGATATCTCTCCGTCTAAGTCAGAGCCAAATAGGGATGTAACGATTAACTGCGAGCCGGTTGAAAATCGATTCAAATATGTGACTATTCAAATCGGTTGAGATGCTAAACAAATCGCGATTCAGTTAGGTGTAGGAGTTTATATGAATGCATGTCTGAAGGTAACGTATGGTCTTTAGAAAAGTTTAGATGGTATTTTTTCTTTTCATCTTGCCTCTGTACAATGCATATTAAAGTTCATAAGTGCAGCGCTTTGATTACAGCGGAAACCAAGGAAACGCTGTTTTAAGCGCCACCTGCTGGCAGAGAGTGCACCTGCGTCTTGTTCAGCTCGTCTGCTGTTTCGGTTTCATGCAGATATTTTTATGTATATTTTCACAAAACTGAAGTCAAACCATTCTGTTTCTGCTTCAAATTTAGAAATTATACAATGTAATTTAGATTAAAAAATCCTCATGTTGCATGTATGCAGCATCTTTGTTTGGATAATGATTATTATTATGTTTATTGATTATTAAACATAATTATATCATTGTTTGGAAATTATTGCCTCTCATTTTAAATGGAAAGAGCACAGACAAAGCCTTATTTTGTTTATATGAAGATATTTATTTTATTTGTGTTACTTATTCATTTGATTTGGGGCTTGTTTTAAAATGTTAATTTAGTTTTTTTATTTACATTATATTTAAATGTTGTTATTTAGCAGATGCTTTTATCCAAAGCGACTTACAAATGAGGACAATAGAAACAATCAAAACCAACAAAAGAGCAATAATATACAAGTGCTGTATTAGTATATTATTATAGTGTTATATTTCAATTTCACAAAGAAACATGCAGCATTTTGTCCAAGCAATAATAAAAGGACACATTTATTTATAATTTGTCTTAAACCTCATTTTGTAAAAACAAAACAAAAATCGTAAATCGAATCGTGAGTTGAGTGAATCGTTACATCCCTAGAGCCAAATATCTGAAGAAACTTCTAACTTAAGTAAAAAAATGGCACAGCTTATTGCACTCTGTACAGATGAGCTCTGATCCAAAATCTAGGGCAGATAGGGCATATACTTAGGCCCACAGAATCCCTGATTATCTGATGGATCACTTGCACTCCACTGACTACTTCCAAAAGCCGCTGCTCATTTGCATTAAGTTAAACATCTGTCATGTCTCTGGACTCCACATGCCTACATCCTGACTGGTCACTGTCACTTGTGTCCATTGAAAACAACTGGGATTACCTTTGTTGCGGTTTCACTGCCAGTGTGCAGGGTTTGCCAAAACATACAACATCAGGGGCATAAACTTACCAATGCTTCAACATGTTCCTTGTGCCTCTGCTCAAAGCTGGCCTGGTCCACTTTACTCAGCTGTCCTGGGTCCAAACCAATCAGCTCAGGCTGCACCTTCTCTAGCAGAGCCTTGACCTCCCACTCCTGTCTCTGTTTAGAGCTGCGGAACGGGTTTGTATCAAGAGCATCAAAATTTGGTTCCCCTGCACCTGGAGTGACACAGAAAAGCAGGGAATTTTCTCTCTTTTTTTATTCAGTTATAAGGGTGTGCACCAGTAAATTATTTTTTGTGACATTCAACCCTGCAGCTCTGTAATATACTGAAAGAAACATATAAAAAATTCACTACTTCTCATGGTGATGCACATTATTTGTGTTGTGTATGCCAGTACGTACACAGCATTTTTTTCTCTGCCAAATCTAAGGAATAAATTAAAGGTAACACAATACATAAATATGTCCTCTAGATGTAAATGTCTAGGGAGCAGACAGGCCGACAAGACAGCAGAAGAGTTGCATAAGCAACACTTCAAAGTTTGAAAATACAACTTCCAACACATCTATTCATTACTTTAATTCATTTTACAAAAATAGCTTGAAATCTTTAAAGACTTGAAGAGCTCACTCACAAACACCAGAATATGGAAACAACTTTTCATGTACCTTCTGATTACACTGAAAAAAAAGTGTTCTTGTCTTGTTTTCGAGTGCAAATGTCTAAAGATTCTTAAACAAAATAAAGTGAGCTTAATAAAAAAAAATAAAAAAATAAAAGAACAGTGGGCTCCAAAAAAAAAAAAAAGTATTTATTCTCCATTGACACATTTGTTGTTCTTTAAAACAAACTTACTTAATGTTGTACAAGACTTCATATCTTAATTTTGCCTCTCATGTAAGTGTATTTTGATTTAAGGATGTTTAAATGTTTGTATTGGAAATAAAAGAAAAGTACTGAGAAAGATAATTTTTAGCTCATCTGTCCATCATCCATGAAACACAACTGACTATATGTATGTAGACTCCTGGTACGAAGGAGTGAACATGTCCTTTGTGTAAACATGTGTTCCTGTCTTACCTGGTACACATCCTCAAGTTGTTCCAAACCTGCATGAGTTTCTTTCTTCTGTTGGTAACCAAACAGTTGACATTAGCCATTGATTTCCAAAGTATGGGGGGGGAAAATGGTACCGAGAACAGTTTGGTTACCAACTTTCTTAAAAATATCTTCTTTTGTGCTCAATAAAAGAAAGAAGAAACTCGGGTTTGGAACAACTTGAAAGTGAGTAAATGATGAGATAATTTTTATTTTTGGAGGAACTATCCCTGTAAGGTTAATGCCACAGGGTTCAGTTGTGAAGCAGTAATTTCCCATTGCCTCTGTTTCGGTATGATCACAATGAAATGCTACTGGTCTGATTTCAGGGATGGGTTTAAGCGTTCATGAAATGCAGTTTCAGATATTTATGGTTTCTCAAGGTTAGTTTGCAACATTTTTTTGCACCAAAAAACTCAAATATTTGGAAAAATTACATCACATCTAGCCGTCCCATTTTTGTGCAGATGGCTGCGATCTCTTTACCAACCGATACATCCAGATATTGCAGAAACCCTGTGGCACTCTGAAAGGTGAAATTATTATTGCCATATGGAAAACCTGTTTTAAGGCTGAGATACAACTGGAAAGGTAAATACTTTTTCATGCACAAACACTTGGGGTTTCCATGTGTCACCATGAAAGATTGAATGAGTAACAATGAATTAAATAATTAAACCATAAAAATAATAGAATTTTGAAAATGGACTAATCAGTTTAATTCATGTTTTGAAACAGAATATTGAATTAATAAATATTTTTCCAAGGCACATTTTAAAAAAGCATTAGCCAGTTGCATTTCATCCATTTACCAATCGCTTTTCTTGGTTGTTTCGCTAAATTCTGTCCCCCCCACCCCCCATTTGTCATTTCAATTAAAAATGCCAATGGACAGTTCACTCATTGTAGAGTTTTTTTTTTTGGACATATCGCAGTCAAAATGGAAGCCATGTTTCTCAAGATACATTTCATCATGGATTATGACAGCAAATCAGACAAAGACACTGCATTCCAACACAATTGGCTGCAGTGTTAAAACCTTAAAGAAATTAAAAGTTTTGGCTTTTTGCCAAAAGCACTTGCTGACGCACCGCTGTGGCGAGTAGGAAGTGGTAGGGCAGAAACTGCATTCTTAAGACGTCATTGAACTTCTTCACACAGTGGAGCTCCAAACCTTTAGAGTCATAGATATAGAGCCATCTCTTCTGTGCCACAGCAAACATGGCCTCTGTATGAAGCCATCTGTAGGTAGAACGAAGAGCGCAGAGTGAGCTTTAAATAAGACCAGAATGAGACAATTACTCATTACTTCTTACTCCACTTCTACACAGGAGTAAGAAGTGGTAGAGCAGAAACTGCATTCTTAAGACGTCATTGAACTTCTTCACACAGTGGAGCTCCAAACCTTTAGAGTAGGGCTGGATGATATGGCCAAAATTTATATCACGATATATTTCTTAATTTTGAATTTTAAAAAAGCCTCATAAAAACGGCCAAGAACGGCCACAACAGATGTCTGTACCTACAAAGCAGTTATTTTAAATTGTAAAAATACTTCAAAATGTTACTGCTTTTGCTGCATTTTGGATCAAATAAATGCAGGCTTGGTGAGCAGAAGATACATTTATATAAAACACCCGCGACGCGTTTTGATTTTGAAACAAACGCCACAAATGAATCAATGTATGGGAAACACTGGTAATATATATTGAAATATCGGAAATGTGTTTAAAAATCATATCACCGTTATTGAAAAAAAATTATATCGCGATACATATTGATATTGAATTATTGTCCAGCCCTACTTTAGAGTCATAGATATAGAGCCATCTTTTCTGTGCCACAGAAGGGCTGGGTAACAGAAGCAGAAATGTACAAGTCTCAATATTGATTGATACCAATATATCATGATATACACAGAAATTTGATTTGCTTACAATTCACAAGCTTGAACCAACTGATCTTGATTCGATTTGATAACACTTAATTTGGATATGTATCAAGTAAAGAACATGTTGATTTTCCACAGTAAAAATGTCACAGTAAAAACTTTATAGGGGAATCTGTCAGTACACTACTATGATATTAAAGGCTAAAATTAACAACTTGCATACAAACATTTAAATTTCACATAATACCAATAACAAGTTGGTCACTGACTGACTTTTCTGAGGTAAATGTAATGTTATGTCATATTCTTTACCAACTGTTTTACAGACGTCTTTCCATGGTTAAACATGGATTGAGTAAATACATGAGACATGATGCATTTCAGTAAGTTGTACTATATCTTTCAACATACATTCTCATGTTCATTCATGTTTATTTCATCCTAAAACTTGCATTAAAGTGGAACAGATGACTCACGCGGTCTGTCACACCACATAAAACAGCGCCAGCATTTGAAAGCTAAGACTTTGTTTCAGTCATAATGGTTGCTAGCTACCACATGAAGCATGTGTGCCAGAAAATCAAGAGATGTATTGATGAAGGTGCACTCACTTGACGTCATTCACCGTTTCCATGACATTCATCTCACACATGAGGTCTTTGGATTGCCAGTCTATGCAGGCCACATGACCTTTCTTTCCACCCACTAGTAGATGCCTGTTGCAGACAAAGACATTTTAATGGATCTGTAGTTTTTTCAGTAAATACAATGAAAATGCACTTCATGCAATGATTTACATAAACCTCTCCTATAATGAGCATATAATGAGTTTTCAATTTCTGGATTAAAATGCCCAAGGTGTCTTGATTGAAATGTCCTGAGATGTTTTTGATTTTGAATTTTTGAGTAAGATTCTTAAATGGTCAAGCATAAGAAAACAGTGATATACAGGATTTTTTTTTAAGTCTGTCAAGTTAATGTCAACATATTTATAACAATTTCAAAATGCCTGTGTGTAATTACTAGGCTCTAAAATTCATAATACAGAATGCGTACACAATGCGCAAAGAGCAACAGAAATCTACTTCTGTTCACAGTGAGTATAATACAAACAAAGAGCCAACAAAACCAATTGCCAGGGTATTATTACACAAGGTACAGTGAGACAAACAATGCACTATAAATTCACTATAAATGATAAATTCTAGTGTAAACATTCTATTTTAACAAATTTAAAAAAAAAACATTCAGTTGTTATTGTTAGGTATTGGCTGAGATAATCAAGCGCACGACGAAGGAGTAGATTTCAAAAGGAGTTTCTAATAATAAATCCATGAGAATATCCATTTGTCCATAAACAAACAGTATCAAAAGCTCAGCAACGTAAATACAAATAATAGCAGACGATGAACTGAGGGAAACTTAGAAGACTTAAATACAGGGGAGAAAGCAATCAGGAAGAAACAGAACAGGTGTGGGGCTAATTAACAACCAATGAGACTAATGAATAACTAAAGAAACAGACTAATCTGTGACCAGGGAACTAATGTAGGTGAACAGAAATATAGAGAAAACCAAAACACAACAGAACAGAAAGGTGACATTTTGCCCCCTCCCGGAACGGCACGTCCTCACGCGGACAAAGGCAGTCAAACAGAGGAGGGAGGGTGGGGGTTCAGGAGGCGGGCGTTGGGCAGGTGAGGAGCAGGCAATGGGAAAGGGGCATAGTTCATAAGGCCAGGGTGGAGACAGAGCAGGTGGAAGAGGAGCCCAGGATGGAGACGGAGAGCCAGGGTGACACAGAGGATACGGAGGGCCAAGGCGGATCTGGCGGCTCAGTTCGATCGAGGCGGAGGCGAGGATCCGGAAGACTACGGTGGAGCCAGAGAGACAGAGGACCAAGGTGGAGCTGGAGGGAAGGAGGAGCCAGACAGAGCCAGAGGGATGGAGGGACAAGGTGAAGCCGAAGGAGTGGAATCCCGAGGCGAATGATGGTCAACAACTGACCAAGGCGGAGCCACAGGGACAAGGGAGCCCGGTAGAGCTAGTGTGATGATGGGCCACGGTGGAGACGAGGGAGCAATGAGCCAAGGTGGAGCCGATGGGTCGGAGAGCCGAGGTGGAGTCCGGGTCTAAGAGGCTGGAGGCGGAGACAGGGGATCCTCCAAACCCAAGGTGGCTGGAAGCTGAAGATTCTGAAGCTCATCTGATCGACCGGTTTTGGCCTGCTGAGGGTGAGCTGAGGTATCTTCAGTGGCCAGCTGACACAGGCCCAATTGACTGGCTGGCTGAGACAGAGGAGGAGGGAGTGGGAGGCTGGGCGGGAAACTTCCCGACGCTGGTGATGAGGAGCTGGCTGACGAAGGAGAGCTGGGTGGGACCAGCGGAGACGAAGGAGAGATGGGCGAGACCAGCGGGGTAGGGAGAAACCAGTATTCATCCTCATTTAAACAGTCAAATATTTCAGAGGCCAGCGACAGCTCACCCTCAGCAGTGGGAGTGTGGGCGGGGTCACATTCCATTCCCTCGATCTCCACAAGGACTCCCACGGCGATACACGGTGTTGCCAGCTCACACACCTGGTCAGTCTCATTCTCACGCTCAGGTTCTGGAGTGAAGTTACGCTCAAGCTGGTGACATAAAATACAGAGCGAGCGGTCGGGGTAGTGCGTAAGGCACGCCAGATCTAAAAAGTTCCTGGTGTGGTCCTCCAGCGAACGTTCCAACTGCATAGGAGCTGTAAGGCTGGCAAGACCATTCTGGGAGAGGGGAAAAAATTAAATAAATAAAACAAAACAAACAGAGAAAGCCGCTATATTTTCTTTTTTCACTGTCTGCTATTCTGTTAGGTGTTGGTTGAGATAATCAAGCAGACGACGAAGGAGTAGAGTTCAAAAGGAGTTTTTAATAATAAATCCAGGGCCCTGTGGGATTACAAATTTAAGAACCTGTTTAAAATATGCTGATCCTATGTTCTGACATAGCATCACATGAAAAACTAAGGTGAAGTACATTGTATTTAGCATTTAAGGTAAATTACATCAGACAAATGATTATCTTAAAGTGTAGCAAGAGGTTCCTGTCTGTTCCGGTTTCTCTTATTGTTAGTCAAATTAACCAAATTACTGAGAAAGTCACCTTTTGTTTGTAATGGCTCTTGGTGCCTCTGCCCCAGTCTTTGAGTAGTTATGCTGATTGGATTAGCACCTATGCATTTAAATGACACTGTTATGCTGATGAGATCAGGGCTGGAGAAATTCCGGTAACGGGCTGATTCCTGTATTGCATTTGCATGCTTTGTTTAGATTGTCGCCACTTCTACTGAATGAATCCCGCCCCCTTAAAATGTATATAAACTCTACTGTGCTGAGCTATAGTCAGACTTGGATGACTGCAGCGACGCACAGCGAGTCCTCAATAAAGAGTGACTTCTGTATGAAAGATATCCCAACGTCTCCTGGTTTTCTGCTTCGACGAGGAAAAAGTTTCCTACAGTTTTGGTGCCGTGACCCGGATAGAGCTCCTCACCTGAATCCAGATTGAAATTTCAAGCTCAACAAAGATCTGTTCCAGAAGTTCCAGACTGAATCTTTCTGAACAACCAAGGGTTGGTGAGTTCCACTCTATCCAAAAGAACCTTTAAGACCAGTACAAATGTGTTATCCTCTGCGCCGTCAGAGAAGAGTTAACAGACAGCTGTAGGGTTTGGTTAACTAAGTTATCCTCTAAAATATTTATTTTAGAGATGAAGGTTATCCTCTGTTTCGGCAGGGAAGAATTGGTTATCCTCTGTTAAAACAGGGAAGATTAACATTACGTGTTAATATGTGTTACCCTCTGTTTCGGCAGAGAAGAAGTGAAGTTAATCAGGGAAGTTTAGTGTAAAGTGCTAGTAAATTTGTTATCTTCTGCTTTGCCAAGGAAGGTTAACAATAGTTGATGTGTTAACAAGCGTACCCTCTGTTGATCAGAGAAGTTTTAGTGTTTTGTTTGTGTGGTAACAAAGAAACTCACAAAATGTTTAGAAAGAATGCTAGACTGATCCCCACAACTGAAAAAGGTGGTCTCGCGACTCCTTTGTGGTCAGATAGCGATTTCAAATCACTGTTAGGAGTGCAAATGAACCTAATAGTCACTGAGAAAGTTAGACAAGAACTAACTCAGAAATATGAGATCCATCCTGACAAGACTTGGTCTGTAGATGAGTGTAAAAAGGTACTAGGAGTATGTATACGCAAGAACAATGTGAAAGGCATTATCTGCTGCCACAGAGAATTTGGTTTAGCGCTAGCTACACAACAGTCTCAGCGTAACTTAAAGCTAGAGGAACAGAACAAAGAGCTCCGTGCTAGAGTATCCTCTTTGACTAAGAAAATGAACCGCAACAAAGCTGCAGAAAAAACTGATGTGGAAGTTAGTCAGCCTGATAACAATTATCCTGACTTACAAGCTTTCTTTGAAACAGATGTAGCCATCCAATCAGTAACTGATGTGCCTGTAGATTCAGTGAAGGTATGTGGCGCTACGAGAAGATCTCAGGGATTTGAGGGAATTGAAAGTGTTCCTCCCAACTCTTCTGTTGTCCAAGTACAAGCTGTTGCCATAGCACTAGGACCTAAAGATATAGAGAGACTCTCCCAGAGCTTACCCTCAGCACGCACAAATTTTTTTGAATTTAGAAGAGCATTGATCAGCAAAATGCGTCTCTACGACATGTCGTTAGCAGAAGTCACACAGCTGATGTCACAAATTCTAACTGAATCTGAATTCAACAGTTTTGAGTCTGCTGTTACTTCTGAACTACAACATGCCAGTAAAGGCGATTTGAGAGAAGGTGTTTTGAATATTCTAAAGAATATCATGGGACCCAAAATAGACTGGTCTAGAATCACTAATTGTGTGCAAAGGAAAGAAGAAACTGTGAGTGAATACACTGAAAGGTTTTGTCAGTCAGCTGCAGCATACAGTGGAATAGCTGACACTCCAGAGAAGGTACTGGATCATAAAGGACCACTAGTTCGAGCATGGTTTGATGGCCTTTTATCAGAGTACAGATCTGCTTTGCCATTCTTAGATCTAACCTGGTCCACTGGAAGTTTGCAAAACAACTTGGACAGGTTAGCTACATGGGAAAGAGACTCTGATGTTAAAGCCAGAGTAAAGATTGCAGCAGTATCCTTTCAGGTCAACACAGAGAACCGACAGAAACGTAAAAGTCCTAAGAGGGAGGGCAGTTGTCATTTCTGTGGTAAACCTGGACACTGGATGAAAGAGTGTAGGAAAAGCAAGAAGACATTAGGAGAAATGAACAGCTTTACTCAGCTCCTACTCAGTCTACTTACTACTTTGAAGCAGCCCCTCCCCACTTCACCGAACTGTTGGAGCAGCTTGCTCAGGTGTTAACGGTTAGGGCTGTGAGTGCTTAATTTCCCCTGTAATCCATCACAATGACAAAATAATTTTTGTGAAAGGTAGCATACAAGAGAGATTGATTTTTGCTTGATACAGGTGCAGTAATTACAGTAATTCCTACAAAATTGGCTAACAGACAGACTGTAAACGTAATGTGCCCTCATGCAGTGTCCGCTCTAATGAATCAAGCAAAAGTCACTTTTGTCATCTCTCGTTGGGGAAATTGGTTAACAACCCTCACAGCCCTGAACATTGTTTTACAGCGTGCGTCAGTCACGAACCCATCCTCATGTATGATGTCTGC